GGCATTGAGTGGGATGTTTACAGCATCCATGCTCAGCTCTGTCTCACTCCCTCCACAAGTCAAAATGCTCTTGTCTGGTTTATCCTCCCTGTGTAGCTGCTTGCCCTGTTCCTCTGCTGGTTTTGAGTTTAGTGGGTTTATTGCAGGATCTGCCTGCCTGGAGGATTGCTGAGCCAGCTCTGGGATGAGGGTGCTTTGCTGGATTCAGTTCCTATCACCGGTTATTGGTGTCGCAGTTGTGCTCGGGTGGTCCAGCCCAGATCAAGGCTCCATTGTGTGAGGTGCTGGATGTGGAAGATAAGGAGGAGTAGTCTCATTCCTGACTATCTTACCGTTGAAATAAACAAGTGAAATGAAGGGGAGAGGGGGGATGATTATCCTCCTCTCACAGATGGGGTGAAGAGCTGAGAGCTTCACAGTATGCTGAACAACTTCAGAAATCCAGCACTCAAGTCTAGCCCAAGGTCATGCAGGAAATGTGTGGCAGATCTGAAGTCTCAGTTTAAAGTTGCAGCCTTAAGATCAGTGTGTGTGTCCGTGGTGACTGTTAGTTTTAAGGTGGTGGGCCAGGAATTCTACAGGGATCTGTGTTTTCTTACTTCTCATCCAGCACAGAGATTCACTATCCCTGAATAATTTTTCTGTGGCTGTTCTGGGTTGCCTCCTCTGAGGAAGCACATCCAGGTAAAAAGGGGAAATCTCTGCTTTGTGAGCAGATTAAACATTTAAAAAATACTTTGTGATGAACTTTTAAAATTATTATTCTGTAGCAGCTTTGCAGGATGAACTCCATATCCTGTCCCATGTTAGGCCCTTAGTGGCAAGCAGCAATGTTTTCCCTGTGCAAGGAAATGTGCATGCAGCTACTTCTGGGAGACTGCCCCACACCTTCAAGTTTCCTTTTGTGTGCTGTGCTGATGGCTGGAATTAAACTGCTGCTGTGTCTTCATCACCTGTGACTGGGGAACAACCTGCTGTCAGGACAAAGGACTCTGCCCTTACCTTTTTTTCACTGAAAACCCTTTCTTGTGACGTCTAAGGAGGGAATAACTTTAACCAGTAGAACCTGCACCCAAATGGAGTCTAATTCTTCCTCTCAGTTCATTTTAGGGCTTCCCTAACCAAACAAGAAAGCTTCAGGATTTGGTCTTCTCCAGGATTGCATTCTGTGAGGTTATTACAAGCTGAAGATAAGCTCCAGCCTAATGCTGTGCTAGCTGGGAACACCCCTCTGCTTCCTGCAGGTGTCCCTTGGCTTTGTCCTCATTCGGAAGACATTCATCCCATGTCCAAACTGAAATCCAGCCTTAATCACAGCTCTTCTGAGCTGCTGCTTGCGGTGCCTCAAGGCTGTCTGGAAGACACAGAGGCACCTCTCTCCTCCTGACAGATGCCCGGGGTTAGTGCTTTGCATGTCCCTCATTTGCTAAACAAAACAGCCCAGAGACCAGGATTTTTTTTCCCTAGCAATAAAGGGAAGAAGGTGTGAAGGGGACTGGGGAAGTACAGGATACAGAGCGAGCTCAAAGAGAGGCAAAAACAATCAGCTCTTTCTTCAGCCACAAAGATTAGTTGAGATTTTGCTTTTTGCTATCTGTTTCCTTGACTGACTGACCAGAATGTTTGTGATGCAAGGGGAGGTGGTGGGAAAGGGGTTGTACCAGAGTGATTAGAACCGAGGAGGATTTGCATGTTTGGAGAGCAAGGCCAGGCGTATTTGGAGCTGGTGACAGCCATGGCCTGGTCCTGATGTGTGCTGAGCATCCTTGGGTACCCATGGGGTAGATTCAGCAGCTCCAAGGATCTGGGCAGCCCTTTGAGAGCCCTGCTCTTTGTAGCAGGTCTGCTCATGGCTGCTGCTGTGCTGGGAGGGAAGAAGGGGCAGGGGGGCTCTGCTTTGTTCTTCCTTCGGGCTGCTGGCCTCCATAGGCCTCGAGAAATGCCAGGGCTTGGCCATTAGGTGATCTTAAAGTGGCAACTCATTACTCAAGAGGAAGAAACTGTAGTGTCTTAGTGGAAAACACTGCAAGTTAATTCCCTGTCCTCCTCCTCTCTTTTGTCACCTCCTGTCTCTGGCTGTTCTGTGGCCCCCCTGCACTGCCTGTGTCTCTGACATGCTGCCTGAGCCTGTGGGAGTGGGTCAGCCTGGATCCCCTGCACTGCTCTGGTCACAAACGTGCTCTCCTGAGCTCTGCAGCAGCACAATGCCTGCATCCATCCAAGTGTGCTCCTCCACTCACTGCTCATCCAGCCAAAGCCATCTCTGGATCTCCTGGATGTGCTCCCCAGGCTCCTCACGAACACCAGGCTAAGTGTTAACAGCACCAGTTCTCTCCTGGCACTGCCTCCTGCAGTGTAGCTGCTCTTCAGGAATATCTGGGCTCAGTAACCCACCCTGGAGTCCTGAGGAAATAGCAGACAGGACTGGGGTGATGTGTGCTGTCTTTGGAGGCAGGAGCTGTAGGAGCACACAGGAGAGAAGATCCCAGCTGTCCATTGCAGGCTACAGCTCCTCTGTACCTTGGAAATCAAGGGCAGGAATGAAAATCTAATGGATACAGCAGCTCTTCTTCATGAGCTCAGAAGAACCAGCTGTCTGGTTTGGTTTTATGAGTGGTCACAGGCACTCTTGCCAATTGATGTGTGCCAGCACTTGACTCCAAATGGCCAAAATTGGGAAGCTTTACATGAGCCAGACACCCCTGCTGTCCCCAGGGAAGTCTGTGCTCGTGTGCCTGTGTGGTTTGGGCTGGGAAGGTTTTGCTCCTGAGCAGTCCAGGAGCTGACACCCTCTTTGAATATTTCTGTTTGCAGATTAGTGGAGGACCAGGGGAATAACAAACACAGTTTGCATTTTGGGCAGTAATTTTAATAAGCTGAAATAACTTTACCTTGAGCAAGGCTTGTGCACGTGTGGGTGTTCACAGGTGTGTGTGGGGTTGGGGAGCAGTTCCATCACAGCTTATGCACCTTCCCCAGAATGGCTCAGGGAAGCACAGCAGGGATTTACTGGGGGCTTTGGCACTGTCTGTTGGACACACATTTGTGTACCTGGTGTGGCCCTCCTGCTCTGCCGAGCTGGCTCTGCTCTGTGGGGCTCTGCACCAATTTGTCTCCAGGATCAAAGTGTCTCTAATGGGAGCCCTTTCCTGCATGTGAATTTCCATCTTTATTCCCACTCAAACCATAAAGAGAAATCCTAAACTCTTTCCCTTCTCCTTTTTCACCCCATCCCCACTGCCTGTGTCCCCAGAGTCAGGTATGAGCCGTTCTTTAAATGAGAGTTTTGAACATGAAATACACTGTGTTAGCCCAGTTACTGAGATGGAACAGATTTATCAGATAAATCCCAGCAGGCCTGTACATGTCACTGTCTGGTATAGTGCAATAAAAATATACATTAGAATAAGTATAAATACATATTTACAGTGTACAAGTAAAGCCAGGAGTACAGACTCTGGATTTGAGCTTCCAGGTACATATTAATGACTTAGTTCTTAGGCACAGCATTAAAGGGGCAAGTACATTTTAGGTCTTAGGAGAATAACTTGGGACTTACAGCAGTGGAACTGAGGGCAGTTCTCTCCTGGCAATACATGAATTTTCCACTTGGACCATTTTGGCTCTGCCCATGATGGCAGCCTTCCTTCATAAGCCTTTGGAGTGAAATGGTCACAGCTCATTCCCAGGGTAATTCCCACTGGTGTCATTGTCCAAGGCTGTGTGTTCAGGGATGCAGTTATGCAGTGAGCCGTGTGCTGCTACAATGCCCCAATTAACTGAAAACATTTGTCTGTGTTATAATAATGTTATAATAATACTCTGTCCTTCCTGTTAAGAACTCAGGGGACTCCACAAACCTGAGTGAATGGCCCCACGTCACCAGGAGGGGTGGAAAAACAAAAGCCCAGTGCAGTGACTTGCCAAAGGTTATAGAAAAAGAATTTGGCAGAGCTTGGAGGGGAACTGGTTCTTTACTTGCTCCAGTGCTTTGCTTCAACCCCTAGACCTGGCAAAAGGAGGAAATACCACTGCTGTCTTTGTGTAATATTTGTGAGGTACTTGCATGCTCTGCCAACTTGTACAGGCTCAGTCACTTCCTCCTTGAGGAGAGGGCCTGGCAAGCAGAACTCTGGCCCTTGATATCGATATCCAGGGTAACTCCTGCCCATGCAGTGACTCAGGATTGCTCAGGACAGCTCTCAGCTGGCATGTCCAGCATGCAGGGAAATATTGTGGGATATACCAGCCCCAATTCCAAGAGCACCCAGGATCTCCCATGGTACCAAGACATGGGCATTACTAGCTCCTGCCTGGTGCTGTGGTGTGGCTCTTCCTGGAGCCTGCTTGGGATCTCTGCAGTGTGATGTGTCTGAGGAATGTATTTAGAGACCCCTGTTATCTGCTAGGGATAGGAGCTGTTTCTTCAGTATTTTCCTCCCACTCCAAGCTAAAAATACAGCACAGTTAACTTGTCATTTGATCACAGTAAATGCTCTGCTGAAAGAAATTACTTTAAGGTGTCTGCTGGCAGAATTTATGGCCTGGGCAAGTCTCTGCAGAAGGCCTGTCCAGGTTGAACACAGCTGACTGAATGCAATCTATTTGCATGCCTTGGGCTTATCTTCTCAGCCATCAGAGCAGAACATGGTTACAGCACCAGCTTGGCACAGATTGTTGCTGCCACCAGCCCAGGAGTCCCCTCCTCCCCACTGGACAGCCGGACAAACTGGATTCTGCTCCTGGTGTAAATCCAGAGTAATAGTGACCTTGGAGGAATTCCTCTGGATTTACACTTGAGCAGGTGATGTCAGATCTGGGCTGGTACCTGTTGAAATCAAAAAGTGAAAGTCCCCACAGGTTTCTTTGGGATGTGCAAGACCCTGTGCTGCCAAACACCAAAGCCAACGCATGACTTGGACAGTCCCCAGGGGAACACAGGACACCACGGGAGCTTTATGAGGTGGGTGGAGGTGCTGGGGACAGTCTTCTTCCCTGAAGCATGAAGTGGCAGCTCCAGCAAAGATCTGGAGCCAGCCATCACTTGAGGCTGTGCTGGGTCTCTCGGTGCCTGCGCAGATCCACCTTGCGCTGGAAGCCCTTGGCACAGAGCTCGCAGCTGAAGGGTTTGAAGCCGGTGTGTTTGCGGCTGTGGGTGATCAGGTTGGAGCTCTGGCTGAAGGCTTTGCCACACACCTGGCATTTGTGGGGCTTCTCCCCTGCAGGGCACAGAAAATGGTAAAAAACCCCACTTTAATAGGTGAAGGAAGAGGAAATAGAAATGCGTTTTATCAGAGTCAGACTTGCTTGGGCATCAGGGTGCTGCCAGCCCAGCTCTCCTGGTGATGTGTGTGGATTGTGATCCAGGGTGGGAAGAACCAGGGACAGTCCTCTCCAGCTGAGTGACCCATTCTCTGCATCCAGGGCTGGGTACAACCCCAACATGCACCAGGAGCTGGCCAATAACCACCTCCTTGCCAGGGAGATGTGCTGCAGCCTCCTGCTGTCTCACCCCACATGAAATAATGACTTTCTATTGCCTCTGGACACTTATCCCCAGTCTAATACCTCCGTGTCTGGGGACTGTGTACATGAGCATGATGGGCTCTAATTGTCATTTTGTCACTGGAATATTTTGTTTCTCACCTGTGTGGATGTATGTGTGCTTCTTCATGTCTGACTTCTGGTGGAAGCGCTTCCCGCAGTACTGGCAGGGATAGGGCCGTGTGTCCGAGTGGATCAGGAGGTGAGTGGAGAGGGTGGAGGAACGTTTGAATGTCTTCCCACACATCTTGCACTCAAAGCTTCTTTCCTGTTGGGGAAGGAAAATCATGGGATGTCTGAGGCTGCAAGACATGTGACAGAGCTTGAAGAGTGATGAGAATTGTAGATTTGATAAGCAAATCTCCTTGGCTCGTGGACTGCTAATGCTGGGTGCAGCACAAAGGGAATGCAAGGAGGGTTAATTATGGAAATGGATCACATCTTGTGATCCAAACTCCTGCACCCTTTAGCAAGAGGTGAGGCACAGAAGAGCAGGGTAGCAATGATCCTCCCTTCCCTTCCAAGGAATTCTGAAGGGTAGTCTGAGATTTGTGAGACCAAGAGCTATGACCTGTGGTTTTCAGAGCTCCTGTCCTTGTCACTACATGCCACAGGAAAGGCATCACATTTGTAACCTAGGAAGTGTCACTTCCTCTACAATAGATTAAGCAAGAGCTGAGGTCCAGAGCTGGTTCTCTGGAAGCATGCCACCCACCTGGGAGTGGATGTTGGTGTGCTGCTCCAGGCTCACAGCGTGCCCAAAGGTTTTGCCACACACTTCACAAGCAAAGGGACGGGTCCCACTGTGAGACCTTCGGACGTGGACCTCCAGCCCATGGGGAGTGGAGAACACCTGCAAAACAAAACCCCAGTGATTTTTCTGACATGAGGTGGCTGCGTCTCCATCTCTGTTTTCAATTCCTTCTCTTTGTTTAATTCTGAACTGTAGCATTCCCAGTGCCTTGCTCTCCTGACTGCAGGCCCCACTCTGAGCCACACACTTTGGTGTGACCAAATGAAGAATGTGTTTCATGCTTCGTGTGTGCAGTGAAAATCCCTCCAGGCCCTCCCCATCCCAGAGGTTCTCATCCAACACACACCTTGTTGCACTTCAGGCAGTGGAAGGTCTCCATGTCTGAGGAATAATGCAGGCTGTAATCCAGGGGGGGCTCAGTGCTTGGCAGGAGGTGGCTCCCATACAGACTCACAGGGTGCTCCAGCAGGGCTGACTGCATGCTGGAAGACATCTGCTGGTAGCTGTATGGCATGTGGAAAGCATCCCAGGAAAAGCCAGCCTTGTAGAAAGTTGGGGTGCTCACTGTGTTAGTGCAGTCCTTGATCTGCAGCCCGGGCATGGCCATCTCTGAGTTTGCAAAGGAGAGGGAGAGGTGAGTGTCACACCATTGACTGAAGTTGGAAGTAAAAAACTTCCCCATCTTGCCTGACCTCGGGAGTTGCAGTTGGCAACTTCTCCTTGATTCAAATCCTGATTCCCCAGGTAAAGTTCCTGTTGTGACTTTGATTTCAATCTGAGGAAACTTTACTGCAAAGAATGCCGTGGAAATTGTATGGCTAAGGCAATATTAAGAGCCCTGCTAGCCCTCCTTGATGGGATGTTTGAACAAGTATCCTGTGGGCACCTGTCTTGACCCACCTAGCACAGAGCTGCATTAAGATGGGGAGGTTCATTCATTGGGAATAGCAGCACTATCCTTCATTCTTTCTGGTGTAGCCCAGAACTGTAAAGGGAAATACAAAATGCTCCTGATAAGCTCTGCCTGTGGCAAGTTTGACCATTGATGTCAAAATAGGAGATCTGAAATACTGAAAATCTGGGCTTAGTTTTAGGGGCTCCATAACCAGCTCAGCCCCGACCTCTTTTGCAATTGAGGTTTTGGGTAGCCAACCTTGAGCTGAAGGGCCTGGCAGCATCCTGCTCAGGTATTGGACAGGGACACTTTCTTCTTTCAGTTCAGGTGGGTCCTTTTCTTGTTTTGGAATCACACATCCCAGGTCCTGTTTCTTGATGTCCTCTGGCGTCCTGTCTCCTGTGGCTGTAAAGAGCAGTGTCACAGTTATGTCACAGTTCTGTCACTGTTGCTGTTAAAAGAAGAGTCAGTTTAGGTGAGTTTTGTACTCATGTGTGAACCCCTGCTGGGCACAGCAGCCCATGCTCAATTCCCTGAGGAAGTGCTGAGTGATGCAATCAGCATTCAAGGTCTGCCCATTGCTGAGGAAGGGAAATTCCAAGCAGGATGAGATGATAGGATCCTTGACACCTGATACAGTTAGAGAAAATCAACCCTAGAATCATGCTGTAAGAATAATTTCCCTATTTAAAAGCATTTCCATTTGTGTGGGTAACTAACAATCACTAACTTATTAACCTCCCCACCCGTCTCCTGAGAGAGTTGAGTATTGTTAACCTGGATTTATGGACAGCCAAGTAGGGAAGCAGAGAGGGAAGGCAAGTCCTTATGCATCGAGCCTTGTCTCCTCCTGCCCACACTCCCATTTATTTCCCCATGCTTGTCCCAGCCCTTAAAGACACCAACCAACCCTTGCTAAACTTTGCAGTAAGAATCTAAAATGGACAGAGGTCCAACATGTGTCTCCCTTCTGCTGGAGATGGGACAGATCTGCTGAAGGACAGTATTTATCTCTTGTCAAAACCTGCCACTGCACAACAAATGGCCAAAGGATGATGGCAGGAATGGAAATTAAAATGTTACCTCCTTTCTTTTTTATCAAACTTATCTCAGGGCTAGACTCTAATTTGATAGCCAGGGCTAGAACAAAGGGTAAAGTGATCCTAAATTTGAATAAAGAAAATTTGAATGGTGCCTGAAGGAAGAAGATAATTACCCTGGGCCTGCCATTGCTTGGATGGCTGCGGGAGAGCAGGAGCAGAGGGAGAACAGCAGGGATGGGCAGAACTGTGTTGGGTGGTGGTAGCACCAGGAAGAGATGGTAACACCCTGAGGTAGAGAAGATGCAGTCCAGAGGGAATGTGGGCAGTGAACACAGAGAAAACTGGAGATGGGGGTGGAGGTGATAGAGTTGTGAGTCTGTAGAACACTGACAACCCAGTGCAAGTTCTTTTCCCAGCTATTAGTGGCCTGAAGTTGGTCATTTTCCCCAAATGTGACCAACTCCACACAGCATCTTATAGCTCAAATCTCCCCAGCAACCCAGCAGGGAACAAAGGGAGGATCAGTGTGGATTTGGTGTAGAGAAAGGACACACAGTAAGGGATCAGCTTGCCCTTACACTGCCATCCCTGTGTGGAAGCCCTTGGATGTTCTTTAGCTCACTCCTCCTGCTGCCTTAGCTGCCTACTGAATTATTGATTTACCTTGGTGTGCTCCTACAAGCCCAGGGGATGGATTGACTCACCAGTGAAGGCAGAGGTGACTGGACCCCAGGTGAGTACTGGCAGGTCATCTTCCACACAGCGGTGCTGGTGATAGGTGTGAGCCTTTTTGCTCTTCACCAAAAAGGAACGTGGCATCTTCCATTCACTTTCTGGGATGAAACACAGAAAAACACCAGCTAAACCTCTGTGGCTTGGGGAGTAACTTCCCACTTGTTTCATATTAAGTACACACTGTAAAAAAATCACACTTTACAATCTACTCCAGGCTGAGGCAAAGGATTACAGAAAAAGAAACAGGCACAGGCTTAACCCAAGAGCTGTTACAGACCAAAACTGCCTGTGGAAGACACCTTGGAAGCCAGGACCTGTCTCTGATAGTCCTGCTCTGACTACAGGACAGGCATCTCTGATCTCCTCCCTGGCAGGACATACAGGGGAAACCACAGATTAGAGATCCCCATTGGAGGAAGTCTGAGTGTTTGTGCTGCACCTGGAAGGATCCAGTCCCAAGCCATGGCCTGGGCTCTACTGTGAAATGATTATATAAACAATAAATGATAGAAACTACATCAATAATAGGAGAGAGACAGGGAAATCCCTGCAGAGTGACGTGTGGAGAGTTTCCCTCTTGCTTGAGTAGTTGCAGTTCTGGCTGACAAACAACAGAGCAGAGGCAGAGCAGGAGGGCTGGGTGAGAAGTCACCTTTTGGACCCAACTCAAATATTACAGACCGTTGAAATGGCGGGTTAGGGACAAACATAAAATGCTGAAATTTAATCATACCAAATTCTCTTGCAATGAATGTGTTATCTTTGCTACCCAGAACCCAGCCCACCCTGTGCCTGCTCCCTGGGGCTGGTAACTGCTCTGGTGGAGGCAGGGTGGCAACAGGGACAATGTTGTGTGCAGTAATATCAGCTGGTGCCTTATTTGCATGTGTATTTGCATTTTCCCTCGTAATTGTTTAGGATAGGGGCACTAAAAACAAATCTTGCTATATTTCATTTGAAAAGTCAGCATTTAAGTCTTGGCTCACTGTTGACTGGAAACTGTTATTAAGTTTTATTCCTTCCTGAGAGCAGTTCAGTGGAACCTACTTATTTCCTAAAGAAAACCCCCTAAAATCCATAAAGTTTGCTCCTGTTAAGCAGAATGACATGAAATGTCTGTCCAAGGACAGAGCAGTCCTGAAGTCCCAAAGAGACAGGGATGGAAAGGTCTGTTCCCCAGAGTTCATAAGTGCCTGTACTACCCCTTCATGCTAAATATAATTACAGAGCACAGTGGTGTTGTTTAAAGCTCTGAGGGCCACATTTAGAGTGGTGCCTAAAGCTGTGGGATTCCCACAGCCAGGTCTGCTGGGGCAGGGGGATTGCCAGGGTGCCCCCAGCCCAGCTGCCTTTGGATATGCTGCTGTCTTTTTAAATCTGGTCCAGGATTCCCACTGTTCCAGCTATGATTTCAGGGATAACTCTTGCTGGCTGTAACCATTTTTTCTTCTGAAATGACTCACCTGTTTTTCTTCATCTTTTTTCCAAGAAATTTACGTGTAGTTTGAGATGAATAATAGAAAGCTGAGGCCAAGAGCAGGCTGTTAATTTAATTTTAGAAAAAGGACAGAACAGCACTGAGGATGAACCATAAGCAGGCCCTTGAGGGAAGGGGCACTGAAGTACATGGCTGCTTTTTGCTCTCCTGGAACTCTCTAATGAGGTTCATTCAAAGAGCTGTAAAGAGTTTCTGCCCAGTGAAAAGCTGCAGGCACAGAAATAGCTCCAGCTCAGTGCAAGGACACTTCTGTTCTGCAGTGGGTTATAACCCTTCAGCAGCTCTGCTCAACCCATGTCCCCCCCATTCCAGCAGCACTGCTGAGCTCCTGGTCAGTCCCAGCTCAGCTACCTGTGCACTGACCCAACCCTGCATTATACACCTGTCCCAAGTTAAAGTGCTGTCTCAAACCCTTTAGAGCTGGAATTTCCACTCCTGTCACGGGGATTTTCCCATGTGGTGGGGCAGCACTGTGTCCACAATGGGGGGTATTCACGTCAGACATCAGATTTCTCTGCCTGAATTAACCAGCTCGTTTCCCTGGGCTTCCTCCAGGGTGGCAGTAGGGTGAGAGCCTGCATCCAGCTGTGCCTGCTGGAACAGCCACTCTCCCTGCCCTCAGGCTCCACAATCCTGCAGAATCCTGTGGCAGCAGCCTGGCAGCTCAGCCAGGTAAATCAGAGGACTGGACATGGGTGGCTGAAGCAATCCAGCAAAGTTTTATGGCAGTGTCCGTATGCTGAGTGCAGCCAGCACTAAGTACAGCCCCTCTTTTCTAGTGAGGTGTCCACGAATAAAAAGAATCTTTCTGGATGTGTTTGCCCCAGCCTGTGTAAAAGTCGAATTTGGTCCAGTATCCTGCCTGCTGATAAGGGCCACACTGAGCACAACCATCTTCAATGGACTGAACGTTGCAAAAGGAAGTCACCTTCCCCCACCCCATTTTACAGAAAAAAAAAAAGGAACTGTGAGCCCAAAGCAGAGTTAATTAACAACTGCACTGGACTGGCTTTGTGATTCACACAACCAGGCTAGAGGAAAGCTACAAGCAGAGATTGTGGGAGGAAAAAGGACTGGTTTTCCTCGAAACTCCAGATTATCTGTAGCAAGAGATCAGCTGCTCCTAATGGCTCACTGTATTTCCCAGGAAAAGCAGTGCTGTGGACAATGGACCCTGCACCCTGCTGCGTTTTAGAGTTATTGAAGCTTCTGACAGAATTTAGCTTCAGCCTTTTGCTGAAAATTAAACTTTCTTTTTTGGAGTCTGTTCATTTCAGCCCCTGTGGCAGCAGTTTCTACCTGAACTAGTAAGTGCACAAGGGAATTTATTGCTTGGGCAGGAGTGCCCATCCAAAATGGAAGTGTTCTGGCATTTTTATTAATTCAATATAGGACATAAAACCAGTAGGTGGCTAGAATTGACATTCTTATTAGCCTGCCATTCCTGCAGCTGATAATAATGTTATAATGTGCCCTGAGGAAAAGACAGCAGGAGCCAAGGGGGAAAAAAGCAGCTTCACTATTTTGGGTACCTTACCTGAAGCACCTTAGAAGGGTTTCTTTCATCAGTTATAAATTCCCCAGTCAGTTCTGAAAGCAGATCCAGCATTTGCACGTTCAAACTCAAAATTCCTTCATCCTCAGTGATGCTTTTGGATGATTTTGCAGAGTATCCCAGGTAAAACTCTAATGGGACACTGACACATTGCAAATGGGCTTGGTCTTTAGTTTAGGGGTAGATTCTGACTCCAGGATTCTCATTTTACTGGATCCTATGTTCCTCATGAAGCCCTAACTCTCACTTCACTGCACAACAGCTCTCAGTACCCAAACCCACAGGACTGTCCTTTGATGTAATTTAGAGGAAATTCATGCTCTCAGTGAATTAGGTTACAAAGCCTTTGGTGGGGACAGTGTTTGCAGGATTCTGCCACGCTGAACCCAATTTGCAGTGAAAGCTCCATTCTAAAGCTGACTTGCATTTTTCTCTAAATTCAAGTAATTCTGTTTTCAGATTTCTAAGGTTAATTGTAGGGACTGAATGCTTTTTCTTGCTACACTCAGTGAAACACTAAATTTAATCTGGCATTACAAGGCTAGTACTCACTTATAGCACATTACACCACATCTTTAGGTAAGTCGATGAGCATACAAAGTTTTAGGCTAAAAAGGGCTTTTTCCTTTCCATTGCTTAATTTATATTATTTATATCTTAATATTGCCCTTTTCCTGCGGTTTTTTTCCTTCTTTTTCTTTTTTTTCTGGAAAAAGTGAAACTTCCAAAACCACAGAATAGTTTCTCTTTGAAAAGACTACATTTTTGAACAAAAAACGTGCAAAGTAAAGCACGATGTGTCTGCCCAAATAAAATAAAAAAAGAGGTTTTTAGGGATTCTTGACTCTTTAAATATAAAATCAAATTGGAAAGAATTTCAGCTGTTTACAATTAAATTAATAATTTCTTCACTAGTCCACCCTTGCAAAATCAAATGTACTTGGGGCAAGTAATTTAAACACAACTTTTTTATTGGGAAAATGAACAGGACATTTTTAATTCTTGTGGTAAGACTGGATAAATGGACATTATGGCAGAGGCAGCAATTTATGGTTGGAAATTTTGTCCAAGAAGTTGAACAGAAATGCTGGTACAGCTGCAACACCCAGAAAAAAATATTTACACTGTAATTGCAGCACTTGTTCTCTTAGAAAGCTCACATAGCTCCCTGTGATGTTGGGAATGCCACTGGCTTTGGGAAACTTTGCCTTAGGTTTCCATGCATGGAATTATACAGTGCAGTCTCCCAAATTCCAGATGTCCTTAATGTACAGATGCAATTTCGATGTGAACTTGCAAATCATTAACGTCTAGAATCAATCTTGTGATATGAGAAGCGTCTATAAATAGCTAGTTCCATATGCTAAAAAATTGTTAGATTAATCAGCCTATACTTTAAAAGGGTGGAAAAAATCATAAAAGATAGATTTGAAGCAAAAATCCTGAAGGGGAGAGGAATTGTCACCTACAAAAACTGGCACAGGTGATGGCAGCAGAGGTGTGCTGCTCTCTGAATGTAAAGGTCTGGCCTTATAAAAGAGCAATTAAAAGGAAAAACACAGTTTGCCCTCTCCTCAATGGCAAAGTCAAAAACTCCTCGGGACACCTGAGACCATTGTCACATCTCTTATATTTTGTTCTATTATCATTGCCATGTGTGAAAGTGAAGTACATGGCATATAATTTCAAAAGGTTCAATTCAAATGAGTCAGGTGAACTATTACCATAAAGGAATCCTCAGGACAAGTGGCTTAGGCAGTGGAATATGTTACATATTTGCAGACACAAGCAAAGAAGAAGAAGGAGGAAAAAAGCTTAGAAAAACATATCAGAAAAATGAGAAAACCAATGCAATTAAAAGTGTTTAAAAGAATAAATCAATCACCTGTTTGAGGGACTTTGCTTTACTGGATTTGCCTTGAAATCTCCCCAGACAAACGAGCCGTCCTCTTCTCTCAGGACTCCTCTTCCACTTTTTCACTTGGTCGCAGTTGGCTGAAATAGATACTTCTCCTTTTTTCTCTCTGTTTTTTTCTTCCCCCTGTTCCCCTCCCTGATTTTTCAATCAGATTATTTGTGTCAAAATCTGGCGGTGAAGAAACAGCCAATAAGAGGCAGAGCCCAGAAAGTATTTGCTTATCAAAACTTCCCAGGACTTTGACAACTTGAAGAGAATTCACGATGCCCAGCTCAAAGCCCTGGGGGCAGCACCCTTCACTTTTGAGGGCAGCTTTGCCTTCTGCAGGAGTATTCCTCTGTCATATTGACAAAAAGCATGACACAGGAAATAATGTACTGAGCAGGCATTTGTTATTTTGTCTTTTCCTTAAAAAAAAAAAAAAAATTAAAAAAGCCCTTAAGAAACTTGTATTTTTTACACACATTCATCCCCTGCATCATATCTCTCACAAACAGACACACCATCTGTCTCACACACACACACACTCACATACTTGGGGCTCATAAACAAAACCATCGAGCACATATGCACAGAATTATTTTATTCCAGAATGGATCTTTTATCTCTCCAATTTCCAAGGAAAAACGAATAAATACTTGCACGGTATAACAGAAGAAGATGCGTGTTAATCACCCTTCATTTTCCCAGACATATGTGTGTGCAATCCACACATATTTTAGGCATTGCTCTATCTATATACAGCTGTATACAGGGTATAAATATAGATTTAAGAAAGCTCATTAAGCAAGCTCATTAACAACAGCTTTGCAAAAAGCTCTTCAAGAGCAATAATAAGAATTTGCACTTCTATCGATTGCTTTCAAAAAAGCAGTGAGAATGGGTTTGCAAATGTGAAATAATTGAGTGTCAAAGTAATGGCCCAGTGGAAGGAGGGAGGATGGAGCAGGGCAGAGTCCCCAGGTTGTTCTCTAGCACAGGTGGGAACAGCTTTTTCTTTTCGAATCCTTGGGCATCTCTCTTATTTGGAGACAGACAAAGGAGAGCTGAAATCCCCAAATACTTGAGAATGAAAGAAGGGAAGCAATTCCTTGATTCCACCTATTCTCTAGTTATCCCAACCCTCCTGGCTGTACAGGTGCACAGTGGCATGAGCTGTGTGTGCCCTCAGATGTCCCCTCCTGTGCTCACAGCTCTCTCTGTGCATGGTGGAACTGAGAGAGCAGAGATGCCTTCCAAGGAATTTATCATTCCAGAGGTAAATAAGTGTCAGCAGCTGTTGTGTGCTGAGTACTGAACTGTCACCAGCAGGAAAATTCCTCTGGAGATGGAGCTTTCCTGCTCCCTGTGAGCTCCCAAATGCATTTCACTGCTTCCTACAGCTGCATGGCTCTGCTGGGTCCCTTTTCCTGCTGCAGCTCAGGGTGGGGAACACCAGGAAGGAAAAACCTTTGTTCTGCCCCGGGCCCAGCGGGAGGCTGGGGCTTCCCTGACAGAGCAGATGTGGTCCAGGGACACTCGGGGCTGAGAGCAGAAGGGATTCTGCACCTGGCCATGGCAGAGCTGCTGTCCCCAGTGCTGTGCCAGCACAGGCACGAGTGCCAGCCATGGTGTTGCCCCATGGCACTGGCCAGGCTGTGCAATGGGGTTGATGCAACTCAGAGATAGGAGCGTGGATTTCACCCGCATTGAGAAAGATTCAGATTTTGATCTTAACCAATCTGTCTTTTACTGAGCATAATTAATTCTTGTTGTTTATAGAAGTGAACAATCCCTTTTCCTGTTCCCTCCTCCCCTCCATATTTATCTAGCCAGGTTTTGCATGAAAGAAACGTTCCCAAGGCATTGTGCTTGGAAGCTGATTTGCATCCTCTTAAATACAGGCATTTGAGGGATTACATTTCCCACTACAAAAACAAGCATTGTAACAGAAACCCAAAATGTACACTGCAGCTTCTGGGTTTTGTATGAAGACAGTTACAGGAATTAAACAAAACAGGAAAATGACAAGCTGCTGAAAAGGACTGAGATGTTATTTGATGAAACATTGGAGCTGGCTTCTGCCAGCACCCCTGAGCTCAGACTTGCCATTGATACAAAGTGCAAATGGGTGCAGAATGTGGCTCTTAAACTTGAGACAGCCAAAGTAACTCAACCACACACAAAAAAACCCTTAGAAAATTAGTTGTGTCAAAATGTTTAAGGTCCCATCCAGGCCACTTTAAGATTCTATGTTCAGTAAAACCACCCCAGCCAGCTGATTTCATAGGTGCTGCCAGGAGCACCGGGCAAAAGGAAAGATGGAAAACTGGAAAAGGAAGATGCCTCCATCTCCAGTGTCAGTAACATCTGGACCATCTCTTCTGTGTCCCCAGGTAGCCATGAGCTCACAAGGCCCAGATGAAGTGCAGACAGACTGATCTCTGAGCTAAAGGCACAGAAACTCTCATTCAGGACCAATGTCACCACACTGCAAAGCCTGGAGGGATATGGGGACACTGCTGTGGTTTCTCCAGCTCTCACCCACTCCTCCTCCCTGTATTTAATTTCAGGGATTCCTGTGGAGCCAAAAGCTGCAGGATGGGAGTGCAGTCAGCTTGCCTTGTTGTGTTCTACTCCTCCCTGGATTTCTGTCTATGGCTTCTCTTCATGTCTCCACTGAAAGCACCATCAAAAGGTGACTTACACAAGCTGAATTATAAACCCAGAGAGCTAGAGGTGCATTTGGGGCTGAAGAACCTTTGAGCTGACCCCGTGTGGTCATTCTTGTTTTATGTTCTTCCTGTTGATATCCTTTTCCCCGTTCTCTTGTATTCAGGCTCAGCAGAGAAGGCAGAGCTACAGAGAGCTTATCTGAACTCCCAGAGGCTTGTCCTGGCCCTGACCCACACAGGCCACAGGGAATGTAGAGAGCCCTGCTTGCACACAAGGACATTTTAATTTTGTGTGCTGCTGTGAGCGTTTACTACGTGTCATATGCTCCAGTGCATCCTAAGTAAACAGATTTTTAAACGTACAGCTCAGTAATAATAAACAGGTTAATTACAACATAACATGTCCCTTTTAGTGCAGTTGTTTCTCCTTTCAAATCCAGCAGCAAACTCCTGCTATAGAATCCATGTTTTCTTTGTCAATTTGACTGTTACAGCAATTAAGTGCCAGTAAAATAACACTACTAATTACTTCCAGCTCTTTTCTGAAGCTCATCTTAATTTCCACTCTTTTCTGTGGCAGATTAAACAAACATGTCCTCTGCACATCAAGAAAAAAAGAATTACCATCACTCTGTCCAGACCATAATAAATATTAATTGCCAGGCACAAGGCAGGAATAGATTAAAATATGCTGGCTCCAAGCAACTCTTATCTCATTATGAGGCAGGATGACCCATTGCAGGTGCAGCAGGAAGGAACTATCTCAGTCCTGCAGGGATCAGAGCTGGGAAACACAAAAACTGCTGCAGAAGTTAAAAATCAACCTATCCACCTCAGTTGGGGCTATAATTTGCTTTTCTTCCCTTGGACCTCACTTCCACCTTGCAAATTTGATGCCTGTGATTCCTGCTGGGATCTGGGGACAATCCCTGCAGACTCCAGAGTCACATCAAGCACCCTCGGTGCGTCCCTTGTGGAGCTGCTCCTCCTTGGAGAA